ACTCGACGGATTTTAACAAAACTTGGTACAATTATTCTTTATACTCCTGGGCAGGTTATAGGATACTTTTTATCACGCTACAAATAATAGGAGCAGAGCAGTGAAGGAAAATGTTGGGAAAACGGGAGAAGTTACTCCCTTTTGTAAGTTTCAGTCGCGTGTGTAACCTTAATGGTTAAACTTACATAGAAATTATGTATGATGGAAATATTTTAAATAAAATTGTCTAAAAAAATGTTTTACAGCATATGTCTATCGTTTATGGTTAACTCACAATAGCACGTGTAACTCCTGATAGCTTAGCAATTCGGATAATAAGACATAGCGCCGTCGCAAGTGAACACTGAATCATGGTATAAGAATTATTTTTGTGTAGCGGTTGCCGTGCTCGACACGATGCGGTATAAAATATAATATAATATAGGTTTTATCAAATATTTGTAACTCTTACCTATTAGTTAGATCCGTGCCTTTCTATCTATAGACGGACGGACTGTGGAGACTTAGTAAGTAATAGGGTATTTACCCATTGGAGATGTACCCATAAAAATGAGACGATAAATACCAAATTTTATGTATACTTAGATTTTGTTCTATTGCTATTTGCTGCTTTTTATCAACACAGCACGCGGGCGAAGCCGCTGGCGAAAACTAGTTATAAAATAAAAATGGTGATTAACCACCCGCACCTGCCACAGACGGATGCACGCTGTGTGTGGTTAAAACGTTGATGTGTCTATGCAATCTTAGTTAAACATTTATGAATTATACACAAAAATTGTCAAAAATCAATTTTCTGAACGATGATGATGAAAAATTATCGATATGAACCTATTTTACGAATATGTCGCATCCCTAAATGAGTAGCGTCGAAACTACTAGAATGTATTGTATATAACGTCACATAACGAACAAGTAGATTTAAACTTAATTGTAATGAAAATAAGGCCCTTTATAGTTTGCATTGAAGTAATGAAATGTGATATTTACATTAAAATCAAATATATTTAAAATTAACAAAGGTTAATACTCAAAGATGATACGATACACCACCACAAGACTCATCTTTTTTTCTGCTTACTTTTTTGCAGTTGAAAACCGCACAAGGCATAACTTCTAATATATTTCGTGTTTCTTAGAGACAACCATGACAACCAATCATGACAACGGATCGAACGATTCTGACAACAAATGTGCCAAAATGTTGTATGTCTAGTCATCATGTTGGTTAGCGCGCGATGTCTGAGCGGCACTTCCACTGTATTCTCTATTCCGTGCTAATAAGCTACGTCTATCAACAGCAAGACAAAAGCCGCCTTTCCAATTTCAAAAACAAACCATAAACAAAATACGTCACAAGTTGCGATTCGATGAAGTCGAAATAGCTTGCAGGCTAATACATATTCAGTGTGCATATTGTCATTTGGAGACATTGGAGGGTTGGGGTGCATCGGGCGCCGTGCGCCGTCTCTGCTTAATAACACGACACATCTGACACTCCGCTGATACTCACAGCTGCCGATGATATGAGGACAAACTTAGATATTGTTTTGTTTTCCACGTATACCGCCATCATTTTCGGACGATACGACGTTGTTTAGGTTGTAAAATATTGATAGATTCTCTTGCCTTCTCTTTGTGAGATATCGGTCCCTTGTTTAAAGCATTTTTTTTACTATCACTGTGGGAAATTTTATAATTTAATATCGTCGCTAATTAGTCCCAGCTACACATACGACGTTTAAAAGTTATATTATGTCACGATTAAAAGTGAAGCTAAATTTACTGCCTGCCTTTTTACTTTTAATATCTACCCATAAAAAAGGACTTAAGTATACTTATTGTCAACTAATGTACTAATAATATTGTAAAACTATAAATAAATCTAGTATAATGCACACTTAATGTGAGAAGTTCGCTATAAAACGAGGATACAGCAAGAAGTTGAAGTATAAAATGAGTAAAATGGTGTCAATAAAGATGTTGTTCTCACTACACAACATCGTAAAACGAGAAAGCGTCAAATATTTCACATCTATAAATGTTTATAAATAGATTAATACTGTGTTTACTTCCACTAACACTAAGTATTTGTTGCGGTTCCTATATCAAAATCCCATATAAACATTACCGTTTTCGACTATCAAAAAAAAATCTATTCTATTTATGATGTATATGTATGTATCTTGTTCGTATTTTTTTTTATACCTAACTGAAAAGCAAATAGCATTTATTGGTTTTAAAAATAAAAATAATAGTTTTAAAAAGTTTAGTTCTAATCTTTTATTTCTGTACGTTAGTAACACATTTATTTTACTGATTAACTTTGAATAACGACCTTTGAATACATATACATATACATAAACGAACTGCTTGCATTTGTTTGTTGCGGTACACTATTGGAGATGCTGATTTAATAAGCGGAGTGTTGGAAGATATAATCTAGTCATCTTTGTCACAACCCCTATAATACAACATTCTAGCAATATATGTGTCGTCGTGCAGCAGACAATTGATGTGTGTGCGGCTCTCGCCACCTGAACGTAGCAGTGACCGATATCTTCGCATTAGTCCGCACCCACACACAAGCTTCCGCTGAATAAGCGAACCAGTTTACTATCCCCCAACTCGAAAGATATCCGAACAGGCCTTCTGACTTTCCGCTAAACATCCTTATGAAACATAAATCAGGCTCGAGCCACCTCGGCTGAGTGCAACTAAAATTATTCAGGCCTCCAGCCGTACGCCATAAGTGCACGTAAAATTTTCGGCGAGTTCCCGTGAAAAAAGGTCGCTCGTGATTATTAACGCGAGTACCTACTACATGCACCGACACATAAAGTAGACTGCTTTTAGTACTGCGTCTTGTATAAGAGAGAATGTGATAGATCTAACTTTATAAAATTTTAATTTTAATTAATAATTTAATACATGTGTGGCAGTTGTGGTTTATCCATCTGTGCCACCGAAAAGCTTAACATTTATAGTCCAAAATTATTATAAGCGCGAATTATAAGGACAACATAGTAACGAGCTCTATAAAATTAAGCGTAACCGCGCCCCGGAGCTCGTTTAGGTGCTTAAGGCCTTGTAACATCCTTGAGCGTATCTTAACAGTAAAATGTTGCGGGGTCGACCACAAACATCAGACTGGCATCCTAAAAGCTATTTGCTCTTGATGGAGCCCAAAAACTCAGACTGTTTAAATATTTAAAGAGTGGCAAGATGGCCGGTGCTGTTGCGAAAATGCTACAGCAATTAGTGTTTTTGTTGAGGTAAGAAGACGCGAGTCTCCGCCCGCTGGGCTTTCGAACTGAATACCGATTTTAATATTTTAAAATTCGACGGACGACGAACGAATTGAATCAAGTAATACTCTCTGAGGACTAAATTATGAAATTGAATTTATCGATTAGAGCAACGACCCCTCCGGTTGTTTCAGACATGCTGACTCACCTCCGTTGACGAATTTAAATATAACAAAAATATAAGTACGCATTCACCTGTCTGTAAATAAAAATCTTTTTTAATCATCAAGCTGCAACAAACAACGAAATACAGATAATAATATCTATAATTTTATTTAACACAAGCGACCCGACCCGCTTTTCACGACTGAAATGCTAAATTTCTTAACTATTTAATGGATGTTTTTATACATTTAAATCTTCATTGAATTGCTCTATCTTATAAAAAATCGCATTAAAATCCGTGGCATAGTTTTAAAGATTGTGTTATATGGTTCAGTAAGTGTGTCGTTACAAAAGTTTTATTGGCTAATACAATTCATTTATCAGTTGTACATACATTTAAGTAAGCATAGACAACTTTTGCCAACAATACGGTAGTTTCCAACTAGTCAAATTCAATACTTTTATCCAAACGTCAAAAACGATACTTTTCTATGAAATTTTTATGAAAAACTGAGCTATGACGTCATAACTTTTTTGCGTCAAAAAGCTTACTTATTTCTTAATAATTATCGATCGATGAATAAAAGTATAGTTATTTATCAATATTTTATTGTATCGAAACGTCGAAATAATTTATTTTTGATCTAGGAAACTACCCAATTGACATAAATATGTAAGTACTTATGTATGTTCCATATAAAAGTATTGCACTTACATAACACCGTGACTGCAGCTATAACAAACGCGACGATAGCCCCATCACCTTCACATGATTTATTTGTATTCTTACAACTTGGACGGTATAAATCACAAGTGATAAAGTGCTGACATTTCACTGTTATTCATTGCCACATAACACATACTGCCGTCACGCAATAATCCTTATGAGTATGCAGCCTAGATACTTTGTATCGAGCTTTGATGTTTTATTTTGTGAATGCGTTAAAAGTAGATGAGGAAGTCCCGAAAACAATATGGATGAGAAAGTTCAGATCAGTAATTATTGAATTTAACTCGAAACTGGTAATGTTTAATCAGATAACCTAGGAAATGAAATCTGACAGCTTGCGAATTGCAATCGATATTGGCGTAATCACTGCAGTTCCAATTCCACTTACTACTTACATTATTTACTTTTAAAATCAAAAATTTTGTTCAGCACAATGTAACATCTACTCATTTAACAGATTATTAAAGATTATTTAGTTATATGAACGATACTTTTTGAGTTATTTTTAAACTGGCTTCCGTCTGCGGCTTCGCTTATTACGGAGTTCATCCTATGCCTGTGCCAAATTTCATCCAGATCCGTCCGTTTTGGAGTGATTGAGTAACCAACATCCAAACATCGTAACTTTCGCATTTATAATATTAGTAAGAAGTAAGATAAATTTTATAAAATTTAATTGAGTAGCTTTATTATTATAAATCATTTGACACATCATTTTTGCGCCGACACTTGAGGTATGTTAAGAGGTTGCATATTGTTGGAACATGACAAACTGTTTGTACCATATTGAAGTAAATAAATAAGATTTTGATCTTTATTTCAATAAGAGTAGGTAATGGTATAATCTAGGTACTTACTGATGTGTGGTGACGTTGAAGAAGAGATGTGAATATTGTGGGGCGGAGTCCTCGGGGCCGTGTGGTGCTGGGAATGACATTACCAGGAGCACCGGCTTACGGGAGAAACGACGCTTGGACGCTCGCAGGAACGCAATCGAGTCATTCGCGATCAGGTCTGGGTAGTAATCCTGTAGGAACAGTAATTTTTGTCATCTTTTTGACATCTTGAGGAGGTAAAATCATCAAATTACTTCTCTAGCCCAGGGTAGAGCTGAAGCATAGAAGAATAATCCGCTAAAGGAAGTGTCAGACACTGACTGACTTAAAATCCCCCGTCCCTTCTCGGCCTAGGCCGAAGCCGCGGTACATTATTGAGCTGGACCCGGGCCCGGTTAAACATTGGCTACGTACATGTAAGGGCCATCTGATCTATACCGAGGTACTTACATCTTGAGATTTAAATTAAAAATGGGTAAAGGGTTAAAAAATAATGTTGAAAAGTTAACACCTCACCTTATTATAGTCGTCTCCGTGTTTGATCTTCTTCCCGTTCATGTTGATACTGTAGTTGTAGTACTTGGAGTTCATGATGAGTCCACCCCACTCGCGCCAGCCGGGAGGGATGTACGACCCGTTGTACTTGTTCAAGTACTTCCCGAAGTAGCCTGTGCAGACATAAAGCTAACTTTAGATACTTCTGAAGTTTAGATCATCGAAAGATATAGACCTTATCGCACTTCGGTGGATGAAAGTTCTAAAATAGAAGATAGAGGTATATCACCAGTATAAATAATTTAAGATGAAACATACATTCTAAATATAAAATCGTCATAAAATGAACAATCAAAACGAAAACACTCATTACCTACAAAAAAGGCGTCCTTTTCGAGGATTCAAATAATTTTCTCATTACATTACATTATTTGCAGGCGATTTAATTGGTTTCCAAGAGTTCCAAAAAGAATAATAAATCTTAATTTAAACGGCAAACATTTCAAATGATGAATAGGGACAACGCGCGAACGGAACGTAGAATGAAAAGTGCTGTAACAAGGGATCATTGTTCGAGGAAGACAATAGTTCTCAAATTTTAATTTCGGCGACATTAAGGGAAACGGAGAGGGTTTTTAATTCAGTGCTGGTGTCGTGTCGTGGCGGGGAGGCGGCACGCCGTCATCTCCGATGAAGTGGAACATGGACGATGATTACTCTCTGCGATGTGAACATGATTGGCGCAGGGGAGGAGCTTGGTACCAGCGCCGTTGCTTCGTTGATAACGTACTTTGAATTTAGTATTTCTATCTGTAGTATTTGTCGACTGGTGTAAACTAAAGTGTGGGAGAGCCATGCTTCAGCACGAATGGGTCGGCTTGACCGGGATGATACCATGGTCTCACAGAAAACTGGCGTGCAACAACAAACAACCACAATGTTGTGTTTCGCTGTCTGAGTAAGGTTACCGGAGGCCCAGTCATTCCCCTCTCGCAATGCCAAAATCTCTAAATTCAAATTCCCTGAATACAAACCATCAGTTAATACGATTGCTCGTTTGCCGACATATCACATAAAAAAACTAAACGGATTCTAGGAAGTAGCACGCCAAAAACAATGACCATTATTTTACTACCTATACTTATATATTTGTTGGTAGCATTTCCAAAGAGAGAAATCCAAATAACATTAATGATGCAGCAACTTTCAGGAGGAAACTACACACTCACGGTAAGGAGGTTGAAAGCTCAACATCGCTGGATATAGAACCAGACCTTATCATAGTCACCCTGGCAGGAGGCCAGGAAAACATTGCAGACTTCATCATCATCTTATCCGCAATATTATTAATGTCTGAGTCATCGTATTAATTCCACGCACGATGCCGCGAAGGGTGCCTGCTATTGCAATTTGAAAATCCGAAAAGTATTGATTTCCTACCCATTTTGATCCCAATACGATAAAATGGAGATTTTTCCTCAAACTGTTTGCCATTTTTATCCAACTACCAATAGGAGTTATTGCAACTTGCCTTATTATCGTTTTCAAATCTTCGTAATCTATACTAATATTATAAAGAGGTAAAACTTGTAAGTTTGTATGTACGGGTGATCTTTGGAACCGATGGTCGGATTGCCAAAATTCTTTCACTGCTATAGGCTATAAAACATCACGCTACGATCAAATGGAGCTGAGCAGCGGGTGAAACAGCGCGAGAGTAGCTAGTGGATAATATAATAAGTCTTTTCATGGTACAATTATAAGATTATCTTTTAAACTGTCTCAAAATCCAATATCATTAGCAAAGTTTAACAATAAAATATTTCCTTATTGTACCAAAAATTGGATTGGCCATTGAAAAAGTCGAGGGGAGGTTATAATTTGTGGTTCTTTGTTACCTGTAAGACAACAGGACGACGCAAACGTAACGTAAACACTAAACCTTTAGGAAACAAATGTTTTCAGAATTCTCTTTGTTTTCACCAGAATTCAAGTTTAATAGGAGTTTGTATAGTGTAGGTATCAGATAACAAAGAATTGTGTTGTGCATTATTCAAAGACAATGTTTTGAATTGATAAGGATTTTGCATAATGTAATAAACAAATTAAGGCGAAGCGCGATTGTGCCGCGATGGGGGTAAGTGAATCCATGTGTATAATTCATCATACCTCAAACGAACGCTCAAACGTTCGCGCACCTTTTGTCTTATCATATTTCACATTACGACTATTGAAAGGTTAGGTAGTAGTCCAAATTCCTATTAACTGCGAATCATACCCACCTAATCGCTTGTCATCTATGCAGAAAAGATTTAAAACCATAACACAAGCACAACACACAGTACTCAATTCATCATCATTATCTAAATCAATCCTAAAATTCCTGAGAACAGTCTAATTAGTAAACAAACAGATCATTGTCCTCTAGAAGTGACACGCACATGCCAATTTGGACCCTTCAGCTATAATGTCAGTTAATTAATTGATATTGGTTGTTAAGTGTTAATATTATATTAATTATGTGGGTGATAATATCAAAATAATGGTTGTGGAGTCAAAATGCGCGATAATATGTCGCACGTTGCCAAATGAGAGCAAGTTCTGAGAAGAGACGGGGCGCAGCTGTTACATTACTATCGAAATTAAATTCCGAACTGTAGCAATACGTTTCCAAAGACATGATAGATAAGTATCATTGTATCTATAGTTCGTCGTGAATTATTACTAGTAGCTTCTTAAGATTTTTAGTGGGCAACATTTCTGCGGATTTTGTTTTGTGGTTTGCATAGCATTGTGTATGTTGTAGCCAACTAGTTTTTTTATGTAATAGGTCGGCAAACGAGCAGATGGACGAATTACCTGATGGTAAGCAATCAGCGCCGGATTAGTTATGGGTGCGATGCCGACCTTTTAGGGATTAGGTTTTTGGAGATTTAGGGATTGGGGGGATTTGGCCCTGTGATTTATACTTATACATACCTACATAATGATATAAGACACAACTGGAATGTTACTAAGTAGATACTGTAACTTGTTAGTTCAAAGTAAAAGTCAAAATCATTTATTCAAACTAAAACATAAATACGTAGATACTTTTGAAACATTAAAATAGAATAAGTATAGTAGTCTGTCAGTCTGTTCGTCAGCAGTGAAGAAAGGTATTCGTTCCAAATTGTAGTTTCTAAACGAGCAAGAAACTCATCTTTACTCATTTTTTTAGAACACAGGTTTACTAATAAATTATTTAGTAGGTACACATTATTGTACCCAAGGGAGAAAAAGTTGTTAAAAAGAATTAAACGATAAGATCAATTCCTCATAATTAAATTTTAAATCCACTATGTCGAAAATGGCGCTCATATATTATGCAAACGTTCTAAAGTTAAGTCTTAGAAAAAGATTATCAAAGACCGAAGAAGAGACCACAGGACTCCAGCGATATGTATCTAAAGTCGTAAGTTTTCTTAACACCTTTCATCATCATCATCCCCCTCCCTCTCCATCCATCCACATTTATACTCATGACACCATTTCTTAACACCTTTATTTCACAAAAACTCATAGGTATTTCAAAATAAAAAAAAAAATGTTATGAATTGCTTTTATTTCATTTTCTCTGATGCGATGACAATCAAATCGTATCAAACTGTTATTCTTGTAGAAAAGCTTATTTGTCTCTCGACTGTCGTATTTGACGCTAAATAAGAGAAACTCACCCTTATTGCTTTAGAATAAAGATACAATTAAAATGTAATTTGTTACCTGATGGTTGTAGGTAGATATATCGTTTACTAATATTTTTTGTAGAATACATATTTACACGATGCTATTGAACCAAACTATACAGCTATTGATGAGACGTACCTAACTTTCTGAAAGTGTGCGTTTTTTTACAAATAAACGAATAGAATTCCGAATCTTTCCCATTGGTACACGGAATAGAAAATAATTGGTATCAATGGCGAATATGACATGTCACGATACACTTTCTTATACGATACCTATTAAAAAATTATCTGTAAACAAAAGAATGTTCTAACTTTACTTGTGTGCGTCGTTGAATTCAACAATGTTGGCGCCAACAATGTGAACGTCATGAAAATTACAATTTATTGAACGTTTGCTTTAAGAATTCCATTGTTATTATTATATTCAGTTTCTGAGCTTAGATTAAATTTGCTTTCACATAAATTAAACCATTGTCTCACGCGTGTTGTAAATTTTGTAATAAGTTGACCTGAATACTTGGAATATTCGTCAGGCGTTAACGAGAAGTGTTGCCAGTTAATAAATATTATATTCGTTTAGTTTACAGCATGCATCGCTTGGAGTTTTAGAAAAAAATATTTAGGTATTAGTTTTTTTTAATACACTTTGAACACAATAACATAATGACGGGCTTAATGGCCGAAGGCATTTTCATCCAGTGTACTTTAGGGTGATACAGAAAAAGGTCTAGGTGGGTGCGATAGCAAAAAGAAATCTTAGTCATGATTTTCTTAATCCAATTTTCTCCAAGTGTATAAATAGCCAGATTGAAGTAGAAGACAGTAAAGCTAAATTGCATATTTATCTAACATCACGCCACGAGACTTAAGAGCATGGTACAAGAGTATAGGTAGGTACGTAAGAGTGAATGCGTCATAAACTCAAATATTACGGCTGACAACATTAGCCCATATTTATGTAAGTAGATCGTTAAGTTTAAGTTCACTCTGTCTCTTATCCTTAAAATATGGGAACGCATTACTTTTTCAACAATACTTTTATCATTTTTACTCAAAAGTTTTGTGAGTACTTCGAACTTGGTATCTTTATGGGAATTGGTCTACAAACTTTTATTGTACGTATATGGGCAATGGATGCAGGTGGCGAGTTGTCGTTCAACGTGGAGGACTAAGAGCCAGGCCTTTTTTCAGCAGAGGACGACTTCCGGCTGATGATAATGATGATGATATGCATAAGTATATGAACACAACTCAGGTTCCTTAGAAGCAAAGCCTAGTTTGTGTCCACTAATATTATTTTCATAAACCTACCAGCACTCGTTGTTACAATAGTTTATCCTAATGTAGATTAATATCTTTAGCAAGGTTTAATGTGCACATAATTGCAACATGTGGACTAATAAATTTATTCTTGTTATTTGAGTGGTCCGTTTGAATAGAAAGAA